AGAGATAGCAATACGCAGCTGGTTGCTCAAGAGTTCGAAGAGAAGAGTGAAGAGTGAGAGTGCTCTGCTAAATCTCGTCTCTGAAGTGAGGGAAGAGAAGAGTTTTTTTTATATTTGATTGTAAAACGTATTCCTGTAATACGTTTTCTTCTTTTATTTAATTATACAACGTATTTTTTGAATACGTTCACTTTATTATTTTTTTTTTGTAAATTAAACTTTATAACGTATTTCGGAAATACGTTTTATAATTACTATTTATGAATTGAATTCCTTCCACTTTATAGCGGAAATTTTTTTTTTTTTATTTTACAAAAACATTTATAGAACGTATTACCGGAATACGTTTTCTCTAATAATATTTAATTAGGAAAACGTATTCCGGAAATACGTGGTTTTGATTTTTTTCCACTCCTTTTTTTTTTGTTTTTGTTTTTGTCCACTTGTTTTTTTTTGTTTTTTAAATAAATAAATCACCCTGGATCTAAGGTCTGGTTATTTTCAAATCTTGATGGATAAAGACCATAGATACCCGACTGCATTTATAACTCACAATGGAAATTATGAGTTCTTGGTCATGCCTTTTGGCTTCTGTAATGCACTAGCAACTTTCAGTCAAAAGATGAATAAAATTTTCAGAGATTTGTTGTGGAAAAGTATCTTGGTATTCTTTGATGACATACTAATTTAAAGCAGAAGATGGGGTGATCACTTAAGGCATTTGAAACAAGTTTTGCTGATTTTAAGGGATAACAAGCTCGATTAGTTTCTATGCGTGGTGCGAGCAATTGGATTGCGCTGAGGGAAGTGTTTGTTAAAGAGCTCAACAGAAGCTTAGTCTTCTTAACGCCATTATAGACGGTTTGTTTGGGATTTTTCGCAGGCCCCTTTGGTGCATGAAGGTTTGAAGTGGGAAAGTGGATTTTCTCAGGATGCATAGTGACAGGTTCTATTATTGCATTTGCGCTGTTGAGGTCAAAGCCACTAGGGACTGTTCTATGGGTTTGTTGCCATCAATTTGCGAAGTTTGTCTTGGTAGTCTTTGAAATCGAGATTATAGTGAGGGATCGGAGTCGATTCCATTGTTTTCAAATTGGTTTGTGTTCTTATGGGTTCCTGGTAAATCGGTTAGTTCAAGAACTATGCCATTTGGTTTCTGCTTTGTTTTGAGTTTTTTCATAAAATTGATCAATAAAATGAAATAAAATAAAATGGGACACCAAACAACATTGGTTTTCTTTCACTAACATCAAACATCTAAAAGATCAAACCAAATATTTACTCGTTTAGGGACCATAATACAATCACTTGCTCAAAGTTGGACAGACAAAACATAGGAGCCAAAACAAAAGAAAAGAAGAACCAAAGAATAAAAGAATGAGGCACCTCAAGAAACCGACTTTTCAAAGATAAAAAGCTCACTCACTACACTTGACACAGTCTATATATACAAATCATTTATGCTTCAATGTTTCCTTTAGGTTTAAAAATGCAGGAAAATGCACTAACCATCCATCCAGCATGCACAGGGACAAGGCTTAGTCGAGATGTACAATATATATAACACACAACTTTCGCAGTTCTGCAAAATTGTGAAGATCACTGATTTCTTCCTACAACGGCACTTCTGTTCTCTCCGAATCATGACTCGCTGATGCAGAAAAATCAATAATCTCGTCAGCCATTTATGTGAAAATACCACACACAATCAAATATAACGAAGAATAAAAACATGAAACCACTAGTTTATAACTAACTAATTAAAAAAAAAAAAAAAGGTGAAATCACCTTGTGAAGCGGGTGGAACCACAACGACGTGCATTGTGGTGTTGTTAGGAGGAAGCTGCAAACGGAGGGGATACAGTTTGCCGTTCAAAGGGCTTCTGGCGCACACGGTAATGCCTTCGGCTCCCAACTCCTCTTCTAGCCTCCAAGTCAATTCGCTCACCTCATTGCCCTTGAAAACAATGCAGAGCTCCTCAAAGCCCTCGTCGATTTTCCCATTCTCGTCGGCTATGTGAAAATATATCAGCCTCCCGTCACGGGCCTTTGGGGGTGAACTGGCCAAGGAGTTGTTTGACTGCACAGGATGCACCAAGATTATATAATGACCATAAATGCATATAAAAGTATTGGATAAAGCTTACTGTGAAAGGGAAACTCATCTTTCTTAGATTTGAAAGAAAATGGAGAGGAGAAAAGGGATATCAACAATAACAACAACAAAAGTGTCAATTATTTGCATAATGAAGTATTGTTAACAAGATGAATGAGATTGTTTCTCTAAAAGTATCTTAATGTAGGGAAATGATACGGTCCGTTACGGAACCATTCCGTCGGGGTCAGGGTTTGTAACCGTTAAATCATCATGTAACCGTCATATATAGTTGATCTAACGGTTACAAACCCGACGGAATGATTCAGTAACGGGACCGTAGCATTTCCCCTTAATGTAAAGGTATTGTTTATAACTAATCTAACAACTAATTACATACTGTTCTTGTCCTAAATTATGCAGCACTTATGCTTTGAATCTTCTATGAAACTACATCGAGACATCAAATACCTTCTGTTCAGCTTAAATTTCGTTAACAAATTATTAAAAGAACAATTGGGATTCAAATTGTTACCTCTTGGCTGGAAAAGCTAACCGGCCGCGAAGAATGCCTAGCCGAAAGCTCCTCCCGGACCACCCCTGAATCCAGGGCCTCCTCCTCTTTCCCGGCCACCAGCGGCAGTGGCGGCGGCGCCGCCTTACCCGCCGGCGACTCAGCCACCACGATCTCAACAACGTGGACCTCCCACAGCACCCAATTCCTTGTGGCCGTCCGGTGGGGCACGTCATGGGTCACCGAGTTCCTCCACGGAGGCGGGCCGCCGTTGGCCCTGAGGAACTGGCCGTACCTCGTCTTCAGCTTGACGGCGCCGCCGTCACCACCGTCCCTGACGGGCAGCCACTCGACGGAGCTGTCCAGGCGCTTGGGCGGCAGCGTCTGCAGGACCTTCCGGCCGGTCATCCCCAGCAGAAAGGGCTGGTTTGACGCCGTCAGGTACTTCCCGTAGCAGCTCTTGAGGCGGATGATGTCTCCGGCGGAGGACTCAACAAACTCGACGGCCCAGCGGGCCTTGGAGGACGAGCCGTTACGGTCGAGGGTAACGGACTCCTCGTCCTCCTCGGCCGTCAGGTACTTGCCGTGGGCGCTTTTCAGGCGGACGATTTTGGCCCTCTGGAATATCTCCATAGCTGTTCGGCGGACTCAAGTTTAGGATAATTTGTGTTGAAGAATTTGTTTTCGTGGGTCTCTTTGTTGAAGAGGATTTTGTTTGGGGATTGAAATAAATGGGTATTATATAGGAAGGGGTTAAAGGGGAAGTTTCTTATTAGGACACTGTGTTGAGGAAACCTTTTGAATTGGCGCCAGCTAATGTTGGTTATGTGGGACTGTCCGAACGCGGTCATGACTCGGGATAAGCATGTATGAAATTTCATTTAATTTAACCTTACTAAAAGCTAAAAACCGAGTACGATACCATGAAAATGCTACGGTCTCGTTACGGTATATTTTATCGAGGTTTGTAACAGTTAGATCAACTATTCCTGACGATTATACGATTATCTAACGGTTACAAAACCCGACAGAATAGATCACAACGGCCACAATACCATTTCAATCCAAATAGTTACCATTTCCAATATTAATGATGGGGATATTAATTTTTTCATATTATATATCTATTCTATATATAAAGGTTTGACATTTTACTTCATATAAATATATAATATAGGAACGTTCCTATATTATATATTTATATAATATATAAATTTTAAAAATGTTTGTGTGACTAATTGTTACTAGAGTTTTGGGTTTATAACAAAATAATATTTGAAATAAAATAATTAATGTATATTTGATGTAAAAGTATGAGATACATAATCTGAAATTAGGATTAGTTAAAATTATGTGAGATGATGAATAGTCAATTAAAGTTGATGTGGTGTTTAAGAACAATTGATTAATATTATTTAATTAAAATTATGTGAGTAGATGAAGAGTGATTTAAAGCTGATGTAATGTGTAAGAATGACTGATTCATATTATTTAATTATATTGATAATACTAAGAATAGTGAAATTGATTTAAATACAAGTTAAATTTTGAGTATAAATTGAATATGATTTGAAATAATCTATAAACAAGCACACAAGACGTAAGGGAGGTATATAAAATAAGAAAAATGATACAAGTACATAATAAATGTACATAAAGGTGTACATAACACTTACATTGAGTGAGACCCACTAACTGCGAGGGTGTTATGGTGGAGATTTTGTGTATGTGACCTTATTCTATTTATTTTTTGTCAATGGCACATGTGCAATTGTAATTTACAATATTAATTGACAATATTAGTTAAAAATATCATTAAATTAAATTTTAATTATACATTTATTTGTATCTTAACTACTCACATTATGCCACGTCATATTGTAATTCAAGGTTTTGTCCAAAAAAAATGTACAATTAATTTTTTTCTTTATTTTTATATATTGGATTAAATGGAGTGGGGAAGTCGCAAATACTTAGGTGCGTTCTGCCAAGACTTTTTTAAAATGAACATGTTACTTTATAAAATGAATATGTGTAAACATGTTTAAACATGTTTACACATGTTCATTTTATAAAGTAACATGTTCATTTTAAACTGTATTAGCACACCTTGCTAAGTGTGCCAGAGTGTACGATAGTAGCACTGTGGGGAAGTAGTCAGTGACTACCAAGATAAGCACATCATTTTGTCGCCGTAGCTCATCAAATTGGACCTAATATTTGAAGCCCTCAAATTTGTAGGATACTGACTCAGGTGGCCCCTTTTGGGTAACGGGAAACCGAACCTTATCTGGTCAAACTTGACACAGGCCACAGAGAATCATAGAATGACTCTTGAAACCATTTCCAATTGGAAAATATTATTAATCTGAACTTTATTTTGCAATAATTGTCATATCAAATATTAATGTTTTTTAATTAAGAAATTTATTTTCAAAGTTAAAAATAATATTTTTGAATATTTTCAAAATATTTTATTTTTCATCAACTTTTACAATTTTTCAATACACATATATATTTCACAATTTTATAGATTAGACACACTATTACTTTAAATTCAACTGAAAAAATATGTAATAATATAAATTAGACCACCCTATTACAGCTGCGCAGGCACGTGCAGTAGCACGCGCGATGGTCCCAGACGCATCCCAGTGCAGCTGCAACGTTTAGACGCATCCCCGCTGTGCCCTGTCACGTCTCAATCGCGTTCTGGTGCGAGCACCACGCCCAGCCGCGTTCAACTTTGCTCAGCCCACGCAAGCGCCCGCAACGACGCACTAGTCGCGTCCATTCGCATCACAACCCATTGCAGTCACTCCTAGACGTCCCCAGCTGGACTCAGCCTCAACCTGAAGTGCCCCGCTCGTTCCCGACGCGCTCAGGAGTCCTCAGTCGCGTCCAATTCGTGTATGCTCGCGTAACTCATGCAGCAGCGTGCTACTCGCGTTCTATGCATCTTGTTGCGTGCATCTCATACGAGATGCGTCCCAGACCACTTAACAACGTACAACGGGCACCGTTCGTTATATACAATGTCCGTAGAGGTACAAACAACACCCAATTCCTGCAGCAAAGCCTTCCGCGCGCAACAACAAAGCCCATGCGAGAAGCGGCGTGTTTGAGCGTGTTGTGTGCGTCCTAGGCGTGCTGCAACGATTCCAAGTGGATAACAGCGTGAACACTTATCCCTTGGCAACCCGAGATAGCCCGAGATGAGCAGCAACCGATCCGTGATGCTTCGGCCCTAGGAGACACAAAACGCATGACACGGTCAAGGCGTGATGTGACACAATGGGATCCCGATCGATGAGAAACGTACGAACAAAGACGAGAAAGATGATGAGGTGTGAAGAAATTCCCATAACCGTTTGTCCGACCCCGTAGGTCGCGCATGTCTGTACATAGTCTTTGAATTTTTGAACGGTACGCGTTGATCCCTAGCCTTTAGTATCGTTGCGCTTATGGTTAATTTGTAGATAGTCTATGACTTGCATAATTTCAACGTTCCTAACGGAGCCCCAACAGGCGCCACCCTGCGCCCCTAGATGGCACCTTGCATTTAATGCGCCATCACTCTTTTTCTTATATAAATGCCGACCCCTCCAGGTCCAAAAGACACAAGCAATCGATCAATCAACCATAACTACCATATCACTACACCCTCATATATTTCCCATAATCTAATCTTCTGAGGTCATACACATATACCTTCAACATACTCAACTGTACATCCCTTATACAAGTTTCTCAATAAATTATGGAGAAACAATCTCATTGTCGATCGCCACAATTAATTGGCAATATCAGCGATTTGCTTTCCTTTATATCAAACTGCTCAAACAACCATACATTCACATCTGAAAACATCCCTAAAATGTTTTCAATGATAAGGATGTCATCTACATATAGTAGATGAAGCACCACCACGTTTCTGTCACTTTTCTTGTACACGAGGTGCTTATCCGGACATTAGCTAAATCCAAAAGATTGGATAACCTTGTCAAAAAAGATGTTCCAAGTCTAAGAAGCTTGTTTCCGTCTATAAATGGCGATTAAGCTTACAGACTACGCTCTCAGCCTTTTGCGACGAAACCATCTGGTTATTGTATATAGATTTTCCCATTAAGGATCCCGTTAAGAAAAACTTTCTTGACATCCATTTATCAGACTTCATAATCTATAAGAGCGGTTACAGCCGTGAGAATCCTGATGGACTTGAGCATAGTTACCGGCAAAAAAAGGTTTCCTTATAATCAATTTCCTTTTTCTGAGTACATCTCTTCGCAACAAGTCTAGCTTTGAAGGTCTCAACATTCCCATTTGATCTTCTATTTCTCTTATAGACTTGCTTGCATCTAATGGGACGTATACCACTAGGTGGCTCTACAAGATCCCAGAGCTGATTGGAGTCCACTGACTCCATTTCAGTCATCATCGCACTATGCCAAGACTCTGCTTCCTGATCATGGAGTGCCTCATCGTAAGTCCATGGGTTGATATCAACCCCATCCCGGATTGTGTCCGAAGACTGCCAGAAACATGAACCGATCGGGCTGCTTGATAACCCTCCCACTATGAGGAGGTTTTACCGGCTCAGGTGCATCGTTGGTGACACGTGTTGTAGTATCATGTGGTGTAATATCAAGTGCACGTGGTATTGAATTATTAACCTCCTTTAACGACTGTACGACATCTGCTATTGGGCTTGTGATCCATCACATTGTCTTCTTTCAAGAATTGAACATTCGTACTAACGTTCATTCTCTGGTCTTTGGGACTATAGAACATACTACCCTTTGTTTTACTAGGATATCCAACAAACAGACTCACTTCCGCTGAGGAGGTTAGGATTTGTGGTAGAGAGTGAGGAGAGTTTTATTGTATTACTTAGGGTGTGAGTTGTTTCGTTTTTCAGTGTTTCTTTTTTGTTTGCTTTCATTGGTTTAATCCAGCTGTGCCTGACTCTAATCTCCGTTATTGAGTTTGTTGTTTATGTTATAGAGTTGTTGTATTGGTTGATTGTGTATTTCCAAAGAGAAATGGATCCAGCCTTTGTCTGGCTCGTGTCTCTCGGGTATACTAGTTTTTTAGTTCTTAATATATTCATTATTTTGAAAAAAAAAAATAAAAAAAAATAAATAAATAAATAAAGTGAAAAGCAAGCAGTCATATACAAGATTGTGTATGAGAAGATGCAAAAACAATAGGCCGATATTTCAAACTTGGGTCTCCTTAGTCTTCTTCAGCCAATTCTAGGTCAGATTTTGTCTTCACCCCATTCTCTTCACGTGAGTGAACTCCCACTTTTCGCTCCCTCGAGACCCCACCCCACCCCTAGACCCCACCCCACCCCTAAATAATTCAAGTCGTGCTTAATTTTACTTGTTTATATTTTTTTGGTACAAGTACCTTTCAGTTTTCGGATCCATAAGGGAACCGACTAATTCAGAATCGAGTCGGGTAGGACCACAAAATATCTTAATTCAACTTTAAAAAAAATGGTATGTGAGCTCTGAACTGTTTGGCTGTCTATTAAATTGTGTTGAAACGAAATTTTCATATGGAAATTGATAGATTCGAGTTGCTTTTTACATTTACCAAAAATGAAAGGAGATTTGAGTACGAACATTTAAAAACACCATTATTGTCCTTCTTAATTTTTTCACAGCCAATTATTTGAGTAAAATAATATAATCATAAAATTTTGCACTAATATCCCAAAATTACATGAATAATGAACTCACCTAGTATTTAATTTAAAGAGAAGGAGAGTTTAAATTGATTCACAAAGTCAACAAATTTTTCAAATCCTTGTTTTTGTGTCCGAGGCGGGTCCCACTCTCACGAACCTAACTAAGTTGGCCACCCAAATTGGATCGACATTTTAGATCTTTCTTCACCAATTGATGATTAATTTTCCCATTTGAGCTCCACCACCATGCCACCATCGCCGCCGTCGAACACCACCGCCGCCCTGCTTCTCCTTCTCACAACACTCTTCCTCCCTTTTCTGACCGCCCCAGCAACCCCCCACACCTGCCTGCTTCCGCCGGAAACCCTTTGCCCGCCGTTCACCTCACCACCGCCGTACCCATTCTCCTTCTCCGCCGGCTGCGGCCACCCCTCCTTCCAGCTCCACTGCCCGTCCCCCGCCCTCTCCGCCGCCATCTCCGTCAACAATCTCACCTTCTCTCTTCTCCGCTACGACTCCAACTCCACCTCCATCACCCTCTCCCCCACCCCAACCCCACCCTCACACCGCCGCCGCGGCTGCAGTCCGACGGCGGCGACCTTGGCCGACCTCAACGGATCCATCTCCTTTTCCGGGTCCCCCTTCCGGGTCTCGGATTCCTCCTGCGCCCGACTGTCGGCCCTCAAGCCCTGTCCGCCGCCCAATCTCCCCAACTGCAGCCGCTGTCCCCTGGAGTGCAAGCTCATCCAAAACCCAATCCACCTCATCCCCGACTGCGGCGAGGCCTCCACGCGCCACCGCGACGACTTCCATCAACAGTGCCGGGACGACGTCCTCGACTATCTCGACATCATCGTCCTAAACAAAGGGATCGAAGTTGAGTGGGACCAAGATCAAGACCCTTACTTCTCCAGCTGCAGAGCCTGCCAAGCCAGAAACGGGACCTGCGGGTTCAACTCGTCTGAACCCGATAAACCATTTCTCTGCTTGCCGGTCCAAGCCCGGATCCGACAGAAAAGCCCGAACCGGATTGCCATCCTCATCATAACCTCCTTATTCCTCGTCCTCCTGATTGCCCTCTCCATCGTCTTCGTAGTCCTCCACTCCAGAAAAAGATCCCTTCCGGACGCCGCCGGCGAGGACCCCACCGCCGTCTTCCTCCGCTACCACCGGTCGGCCAGCCTCCTCCCGCCCCTGTTCGCCTACGACGACCTCGATTCCTCCACCAACCACTTCGACCCCAAGCGCAAGATCGGGGATGGCGGCTTCGGCTCCGTTTACCTCGGCCAGCTTCCGGACGGCAGCCTGGTCGCCGTCAAACACCTCCACAAACACAACTCCAAAAACGGCATCTCCACAAAATCATTCTGCAACGAGATCCTAATACTCTCCTCCATCCACCATCCAAATCTGGTGAGGCTCCACGGATACTGCAGCGACCCTCGTGGGTTGCTCCTGGTCTACGACTACGTACCCAACGGGACCCTGGCCGACCACCTCCACGGAGAGAAGAAAAAGAGCCCTTACAGAAATGGGGCCCTCAGCTGGCCTACACGTGTCGACATCGCATGCCAGACGGCCATGGCAGTCGAATACCTGCATTTTTCGGTGGTACCGCCTGTGATTCACCGGGACATCACCTCGTCCAACATTTTCGTCGACCGGGACATGAGGGTCAAGCTGGGGGACTTCGGGCTCTCGAGACTGTTGGTGGGCCCGGAAGCTACGGCGGCAGCTCAGAGCCCGTCTGAGGGCGTGTGGACGGGCCCACAGGGGACGCCGGGCTACTTGGACCCGGATTACTACGCGTCGTTTAGATTGAATGAGAAGAGTGATATTTATAGTTTCGGGGTGGTGTTGCTGGAGCTGATGACGGGGATGCGAGCGGTGGGCCCGGCCCAGGGGATGTCAGGAGGGGTGGTGACGCTGGTGGAGATGGTGGTGCCAAGGATTCAGATGGGGCTGCTGCATGAGGTGATGGACCCCACATTGGCGGTTGGTGGGGAGGGGGTTGGGGCGGTGGCCGAGCTTGCTTTCCGATGCCTGGCGGCGGATAAAGACGACCGGCCGGACGCGCGCGAGGTGGCTGCCGAGCTGAGGAGGATAAGGGCTGAGGTTTGATGATTTTTTTGGTTTCCGTTCGGTGAATTGGTTGTTCATACACTACACTACACATGTGGGAAAGAAAGCTGCTCCTTCTTTCATTATGGTTAATGGCCAAATTGGTTGAATGTGGATTCCACTTCAAAGGCTTCGTCTCTTAGATGATAAAAATTAATCACAAATGTGCTGTGTACTTAAAGGGGCATGCATGGTAGCTACAGCTTAGTCGAATGTAAGGTCATTTATTGTATATCAATTGGACTTTGTGAACTCAACATCATTCCTAAATGAGCTTCATCCATGTCTGCGGGTATGTGTTTTGTTGAACAGAGAGTTGGGTTTATTGAGGATAAAACAATGTTTGACAAGGAACTGCATTTGCAGCTTCTTCCCACGTTAACATTAAAATGGGTTAGCATTTCTTCCTTGATCCCAGTGATTACATTGTGGAACTTCTAATACCATATGTATGCAGTTGCAACCCCTCGAAGCTTTGATTAAAGATTTGGGCTACTAACTAGCAGCGTTTGAAACGTATGAAAAGGCGACGGTGTTTGAAACGTATGAAAAGGCGACGCCAGACATGCCTAGGATTGGACTTCATGTCGGCCCTGGAGATTTTGTCACTCACATAGTACACATGTCGCCATTTTTTTTGGTGCTGTATATCATTGGGTGGATTTCAGATATTGATATATGGTGTGTAAATGACCTCGAACCAGTCTGACGTTCTTCGATCCATACTTGAACCAATTTTGTTGTTCTTCGATCCATCCTTGAACCGATTTTGTCACTGAGATGGTAAACGTCACAATTTTTTTTGGGGGCCACATATCATTGGGTGGATTTCGAATGCTGGTGCTATATGGTGTATACGACCTCGGCCCAGTCTGACGTTCTTCGATCCACCCTTGAAATGGCCTGCAAAATAGTGCAAAATAGTGTTGGGGGTTGTTCGTTGTAGAAGCTCCGGTGCTCAAGTTAGTACTCGGGGATGAAGATGTGTATAGTGTGGAGAGTGTGTAAAGATGATCGTACCTCACCCCGTTAACTTATATAGCGATATTACCTTGTTCAAGGTCTGCTCGATCTTGCTACTCGAGTGTTTGACTACCAGATCATATTGCCCGGTTTCTCGAACTGCCCAATTATGTTATTCATCTTGTAGTGTTTGTGGTGTTCAAATGTTGAGGAACTTGACTCATTTTGGAGTTGCACATATGTGCAGGCTTTTGCATGAGAAACGAATATCAAGGGGTGTATTCATTTGAGACGTTTTAAAAACTTTGTAAGATTTTAAAAATTCTAGTATTTAATTTAGATATCTTAAGACTTTTTAAAGTCTTGGGATAGTCGTTTGAGATTTTTTCAAAAGAAAAAATCTTATACGTAATCCCACACCAAATTCTACCTACAAACTTAAAATTTCATAGGATTGTTCGTAATTTGAAGAAAATCACTTGTTTAATTGGAGAGAATCACTTGGGCCCAAAATTGTTCAATATAACTGGAAACATTTGACTTTGGTGTAGAAATTACAAGAAAAAATGACTTCAATTCACATGGAGATGTAAATACACTGCATAAACAAGTGCTTTATTCAAACAAGCTCAAAGGATTTATTACAATGGTTCGACATCATTGGGTCCAACCGAATGGAGCCTAAATGTGCCGATGACTTATTACATAAACATACATGTCCTTGCCAAAGCCAACTCTTGACAAAGACCGGCATTCGCGTGTGATTACGTGGAGAACAAGACGGCTGTTACTTTAACCTCTATAGGAGCAGAATACAGAAATATTTGCAAGTTTTACTTAATTAAAGTATGCAGCTTCCAACTCCCCAGCTTTCTGACCACAACTTGCAGCTTCTTCCTTTCCTAACGCTGTATAGGCTTTCTCCTGTAATATCAATTTAGAAAACTATTCATAAATAAAGTGAACCTAAGACGAACCTTGAGACCTCCCATTTTACATTTTTACTCAACCAATGAGTGCTTGCCATTTCAAGGGTTCGACTTCCAAAACACCTCCTAATAAGGGTGTAATTTTCTTTGAGCATATATAAAGAAAATGAAGTAAATTTTACGGAAGCCTCTAGTATAGATCGATTAAGTGGAGGCATACCAAGAGACGCCATAAAAACGGTGCACCCTCTCGTTTTTTTAACTGTTTCTTAATAGCTTGTATAGCTGCAGGGGACAACAAGCTACTGTTAGTGAACCAAGCAAACTATACACAACGAAAGGACAAAACGGCATTTATAAGTACCTTTGACTGCCTCTCCAGTTTTTAGCAGCAAAATGATATGTAGTTCGGTGAACACATCAAGCTGTTCGTCAGATGCCCCGATTACCTAGCACAAACAGAGTACAAAGTACTGTTTCTTTATACTTATTATTCTACTTTAGAACAAAACTAAGTTAAGACATAACCCAGTAAGTGAATCTTTTTTTTTTTTTTTTCAGTAGAAACCTTGTAATTAATGGCATCAAAGTCGTGGCCGAGAAGTTCTAATGCGTCCTTATTTTCGCCATTGCCATACTTGTACAGAGCTTCTGAAAGCTAGAAAAGGCGAATATATGTATCAATTTTTCAGAAGAAATCAGTAACGGATGTCTATAGCCATGAATTTCTTGATTTCAGTGCAACATGAAATATGCAGTTGAGATGATCAATTTCAAGATTTCGACTCAACAAACGAAGCGGTTTCATATTGACGGAAAAATGCTAGAAATTTTATTGGGCGCATGAAAATATGAAGCATAATTCACAAAAGAGAACAGAAACAAACTGAAAGTCCTCTCTCCATTAGTTTCTTTTTCTTCTCGCTCATCTTGGAAACCCTGCTACAAAGGATTGACCATAATTAAAAAGGGAAATAATATGAACAGACATTAAAGTGAATGAAGAAAGCAAAACATGAGAAACATAAGGAGTGGAGGAAAACTACACCTAAATTTCAAGCCAACGAGCAGTTCTTCTGCTTTATTTATTTCTCCTGTACATGCTAAGGCCCACACTATCAAGATATCAAGGTGCCACTCGGTAAACCAGAAGTCCTGAATTTTTTTGTTCAAGTATGAAAGTGTCAACACAATTCTATAAATATTTATATCGCTTTTGCATGATGCGTCCTAATTTTTCGAGTAAATCTTTCTCAGACAACCCAAAGGAATGCCACCGAAGGTGGAGCAGTCACACTCTTACAAGTCTGTGACACCACATCAGGGTAGTTCAAAAGGCCAAAATCAAATTCGATTGTCATGTGTTTGAAAAAAGTTATTAATAAAAAAACGGCCTTTTTCATTTGGAGATCCTGCAAAAAGAACCTAGAGACGTTTCAATATACAAAGGCGCCCACATGTTCGATTCACCCACATTTTTCTTGTTCATAATTAAAAAAATTAGAAAGCCCTCTTATATTTTATACAATTATTGTCGTCATCCCTTGAAAGTTAAGACAGAATTAGATCATACCTTTCTGTTTTCTACTTTGAAACTCATCTGGATTCCTTCCAAAAATAACTCAAAGAAAACTTACCTGGATTTCCCCATAAATATCTCAAAACCCAGGGGAATTTTTCGTTGGGAAACCCAAAAACAGGAGAATGGGAAGGTTAGAACTCACTTGATCTGTCAAACACTTTGCTAAATCCTGTAGACGACCCTTGAAAATTTCACCTTCACCTCGTATATACACACGCAACAACAAACCAATGGCATTTAAGTATACCTGAATGCAAAAAGATGCAATTAAATAAATTATATTTTGCGGGCGAGAGGACTCTAATATAGGGGGAAAAAGCCATTATCACAGACCTCAGCCGGCACACAATCACTTCTTTCAAGTTCTTTCCAAATGCATTCGTCATAAATTTCCTGCACTTTTTCTATAGGAGCATGGCCTTCCAAATAACATAGAGCAACGTGCCACCAGTTGTGTGTGTACCTAATAAATAGCCATGTTCAGCCAGCTAAAGACAAACAAAAAAAAAATGTTGGAAATGTAATATGGCATCTTCTCACATAAATGTGAGCATACATAAAAGACGATAAGCAACCCCATGATCTTGCACAGTTACTCATGAACTGCACTGCTTCTTTGAACCGACATTCATACTGGTAAACATGGCAAAGCTGCGTATGTGTAAGAAAACCATATAAGAGTTGGATAATGACAGAAGTAGTAGCTATTATTTGCATGTTAATATGATTGCAACAGGAAAGGGTATTAATGATTTTGACCTACAGTTGGTTTTCTTTGTAATTAATTAGACAGAAAAACTAAGGCTCATTTTTTGCAATAAAATCCTGAATAATTAAGGAAATGTAACATGCTAAATCGGCATTAAAACTACTTCACAATGAACCAAAACAATAAACTATCAGCCACTGGAAAAAGTCAATACAACAAATTTTAATTATCATTTTCCTGCCAGAAAGTATTGAATGATATTCACCCCATGAGAAGGATCACAATTAAGTAAAAACTTGAGAAGATTTTGGACATAGCCAAGCAGAGTAAATAAATGATCAACTAAATCAAGTAAGATACTAACTGCATGCTGAGACCAAGGATCATCCTTGTTGATCTCATATCCCTTTTTGCCAGCTTTCTCTGCATCTTCCATTCGACCAAGCTCAAGCAAAGGAAATGCAAGCATCCCATATATATAACTCTCTTGCTCATTTGTTGGTAGGACCTGTTCGTAATTATGCTATTGGTTACAAGTAATTTCTGAAAGGATCAGTTTTCTTAGTATTTAAAAAATTCAGTTGTGTTAATCCCAGTTATCCACAAGATTTGCTAAAGCCACTTGAAAAAACGTACATTGCTAATTAATGCATTCGAAAAATTACTTTGCTACTAAAAACATCACCTGTTCTACGAGCTTCAATGATGGATCTGGTTGACCCATATAAAAGCATAGCACTTGAGCTCTCTTTAGCGACAAAAGATCTCTAGGGAAATCTTGTAACAGCTGTAACCAAGTAAAATTGACCAAAACATAGATAATTTAAAAAAAAAAAAAAAATCTGAAAACCAGAGGACACACAAACAAATTTTAATCGCAGACTTCCAACCTTCACAACAGTAAATTTCAAGAATGAATCCCAGACTATACTATATACTCTACCCTCGGCTTCAAGTAGTGGTTAGTTACACATATAAAGTAAGTTACAAAACCTGTATTCTGACCCACAAAATCTAAATATCTGAATTTGATTATGCCTATAAGTTACGCTCCTCCCCAAATTAATCAATTTGCGACCACCCAAAACCGACATGTTTCATCATGGTTCACCACTCATGAGTCTTTTTCAATTCATTAGGTCCTCCACACTTCCACAATACAACTGGCTGAACATGGGACTCACGTCACTCACCTGATATTATGATGAATGACCAACTCATCTAGAAGAAAGCATAAACTATAAAAGAGGTGAGCCATATAATATTTGATTATTCTAAGAGTTGCAAACTATTGAGGATGGATAATTCAGTTTAAGCGGTTTTAACACACCTATATTACGCGATAAAACTTGATTTTTTAAAGAGTAGGGAAAATATCTGCACAGAACAAGCAACCTACATTGAGTTCAAACGAGTAGAAATTTGAAAGTGAAGACATCCAGACATAAGTGGAGATAAAATTACCCATAATTACAAAATTCTTACAGATGAAAAATGGTACTTAAAGGCAAACCAATAATTATTATGAAAAGGGAGAGAAAAAATCATCATCAAAAGATTACCTTGGAATGCATTTCGACAGCCAAATCATCATCTCTATCTGGAGAAGTTAAATATACCAAAGCTTCAAATACAGATTTCTCATATGAGCTTGCTCGTTCCTGCCCAAAGCACACAAAACAAAAACCATAAAGAGAATATGTACAAACAGGACAGTTTGAGTTTTAAGAAATCAAGACAAAAGCCCCCAAAATAACAATGATGACTATGATGATGATAGAAATCGTACAAGATGAGACTTGGCGGTGTCCAAGAGCTGAGCAGCATGAGAAGAATCAGAAGAGCAGAGAAAATGGGCAGCCAAAATATTGCCCAAAACACACTCTGGATCACATTTCGGAGCTTCCAATATTACTGACCTGTTTCTTCCATAACTAAGCACCTAAATATCCGAAAAAAGTACGGTAGATTCATTTATTCCGATAACCTTATTCAATAATACTCTAATAATCAGCTAGAAATTCAAAAGCGAATCAGCTTGTGCAATATCAGGTAGAACTTCAAATTCAAAATTTCATAAACAGCACGCAAGAACCACAAAAGAAGCTAATTCAGAAAGAAATGCATAAAAAAGGGTTAAAACAGATAAGGAAAGAAGTAGAAATAAAAACCCACCAAGATTTCATCCATTTTTCAAGAACAAATGAACAATACATAGGAAACAGCAATTACTTACGCATTCAAGAATTTAAAGCTTCGACAGACTGATAAAATAAACTCAAACTGAGCTAAAAAGATTAACCTGTTCGTAGTACGAGTTAATAGCAGATACACAAGCATCTGAACAGGTCCTCACTTCATAACCCCATTTGTCCAGTTTCATATCTCCGAATATTTTTTGTTTCTTGTGATTTGTGATTTATGGTGAAAGCTATTGATTTGGTTTGATATATGTGCGTGAATAATACCAGGGAAAAAAAGGCCGACCTTTTTCTTGTATCATTTTTGTTCGTTTTCCAGTTTTATTAATTAATTTTCCATTTAGGGTTAATTGCTAAATAAACCATAACCTTTTTTGCGTTTGGCAATTTTATCTCAATCTTTGGATAATTGCAATATAATTTCAACCTCAATTTACTTATTGCAAATTTGGGTGCAGAGTGATTGATTTTAGGGATTTGTGGATCGATTTTGTGTCCAAGTCTTCCATTGACACGAGTTTTTATGTCATTCACGTAGCAAGCTGACAATTTCCATGTATTTAATGTATATCCACGCACAAAGCCAAAAATTACACGTCAATGTAAGCTACCGGTAATGACTCTTCTCCTAGATCTGGAGTGAACCGGTAAATATGAGCTCTGAACTGTTCGAACCGCCTTCAAATCGACCAGTTTTTTGAAGGTCCAACCGGTTTTAGGTTCGACTTGCAATAAGTAAATTGAGGTCGAGATTATATTGCAATTACCCAAAGATTGAGATAAAATTGCCAAACGCAAAAAAGGTTAAGGTTTATTTAGCAATTAACCCTTTTTATTATTATTATTATTATTATTATTATTATTATTATTATTATTATTTTGGTATAATGCAGGAGGCCAAAGACATAGAAAGATAACTGAGCTAGAACACGACAGAGATACGACACTCCAATAATATCGTGATCGAGCCAATTACTCATTCCTAACAGGGGCGAGGACAACCTCTGCAGACCAATCGGGAAAGAAGCCGCCATGCATGCTATGTGGTCAGCCGCAAAATTTATTTCTATGTGTATATGCTGGAGACGCACGTTCCACGCTCGTTGCATCAGACTACGGATAGCCTTGACCATCATGTCATGGGTTCCACATGAACCTTCGGGGCTCAACTTTTAATGTTTCATTGTTTTTTTTTATCGGTAAATGTAAATATATAGATTAAAACTAAGGTTTGAACGACTGTAAGATGGCATACAAAAGCACATTGGACAGCCACAAACTCGGCTCCTCATTAGCTAGAGAAAGGACTAGAAGGACAAACACATGTCGGTTGTTCACTCAAATGTCAATGAAAAACAAAGAAAGTGCATGGAAACTCGGCACTATGGTTGGCCAGAGGATCTCCGTGTCGGCACATGCGTGCTGGACAACTCTCAAACTCCAAATGCAAAGAAAAGGTCTCTCAAAGCCCAAGGCTCCGCCTCTCAAACTCGACTAGCACATTCGGGTATAGCGCAAAAATGGTGCGATAGACATGAGTTTTTACCTTATGGATCACAAGGCTCGGGGGTTGATATTCATTTTTGAAAATCAACTTATTCCTCGCATTCCAAAGGAAGTACACGATGGCTGCTAGCGCCGCTTTCTTCAACTTAGTTTGCCTAGTAGCCCCTCTAGCCTCATTCTCGGTCCATTTCAGGGCCCCTTTGAGAGTCGACGGCCTATGACGGAAGCTAACTCATACTCGAATCTCTCCCCAAATTTCCAAGCTAAAGGGGCAATCAAAGAAGAGGTGGCTTGATGATTCATTCACAACACCATAAAGAGAGCAGGTCAGGTCTTCGTCGAGAAACTCTAAGCGGTCTTTTGTCCGGAGCCGATTGAGCACCCCCAACCAAAGGATAAAAGAGTGTTTGGGGATATTACAAGTCCCCCAAACAACTTCGACCCAAGGCACCAAAAACCCTCTAGGTTTTAGGAAGTCGTAACATTTACTTGACCCATCTTGCTTATCTCGAGAGCTCCAATCGTGTAGGGGGACTTTTGCGGCTCGCTCACTATCCACCTTTTCAATCAAAACATGTCGGATCCCAAAGAGAGCTTTGAAGATAGGCGAGTCTTTCGTGTCAATTTCGTTTCATTATCTTTGTTATTCTGCATTCATTTGCATAGAGCGAATAATAATAATAATAATAATAATAATAATAATAATAATAATAATAAAATAATAATAATAATAATAAACTAGGACAATACCTAGTATTATTATAATAAACTAGTATAATACCTAGTGCAAAGTGCTTATTAAAAAACTTATATTTAAACTTAATAAATCAAACTTTTTAATTTGTAAATATTTTTTGAAAATTAAATTATTATTTATATTTAAAATGACACCGGTCACTTATACAATCTGTCATCTTACATTATTTTGTTAACTTGTATCATACAATACTTGTGGTTAAATTAATTTTATTTTTTAGTTAGTATTAATAGGTCAATTAATTTTATTATAAAAATAAATATAATTACTTGTTTATTTTCTATGTACAATATAGATGTCAAATCGAATCTTGTTAAAACATGATTAATTTGATATATTTTTATATAAAATTTTGAAAAACAAATAAAACTAATTGTTGATAAATATATTGTCGAGTCAACTATCTTACAACAATAAACATATTAGTTGTTTATAACTATATTGTTATTTGATTGATTTTTTTGGTTAATCAATATTTATTTTTTTTTTAAAATGACATGATTAGTTGTTAGTGAAATTTTAAGTTTCTATTAAAATAATATTTAGAATAAAATAATTAAAATTGATTTGACGTAAAAGTAAGAGATGAATGACTGAAAGTGATTTATTTAAAATTATGTGAGTGGATGAATAGTAAATTAAAATTGACGTGATGTAGAAAGATGATCGATTTATATTATTTAATTATATTGATAATATTTAATTTTTCATTCCAACCATCACGAAACAAAAGCAAAAACTAATTTAATTAATCACTAGAAGAAGATGTTGCAGCTCGAACCATCATGAAGAACTGTACAAGCTTCTGAACATCTGGTACAACATCCTTAGCAGCCTCATGTGAAATGAACCTCTCGGCCCATGCTGCCAGCCCAGGGGCCTTACTCTCATCCACCAATTTAACACTATACACCGTTTGAGTAACTTTTACCCAGCTCAAGTAGCTCCCCAATACAACATCCATGTAGCCAATGCTATCCCCTCCAAAATAGTCTTTCCCTTGGCTACACTTGCCAAAAGCCTCCTCCAAAAGGGCCACTCCTTCGGATATTTTCGCGAGAATCGTGGCTCTCGCCTCGTCTCCTCCACTTTCGGGCGTCTTGAATAGCTCTATGAATAATGGGAACCACTGAAATTGGACCAAATTTTCAGTTCAATTAACTTGTCATCATTCTTTTTTTGTCCGAATGATAGGAATTTTATAGCAAAAAACCACATAAATACGACTAGAAAACAACGTTGTGAAGTAGTCTTAGTTTCGCTTTGAGTCTCGTTTGTGGGTGAGTTGTACTTTAGGTTAAATTCTAGGTGATCTTTAGATCTGTCCTCGATTCAGCTTAAGAGCTGCCTTATTCAACTTGTCATCGTTTGAAAGGAAGGAAAAACAAAGTAATAAATTAAGGGCAAAATTGCAATTTTAATCATGTTGATGTTGGTTTGATTTAGTGGCGTTTTTAGTTCTAAGGATTTAACATTTTTGCTATTTGGTCCTATGATTTTAAAATTCAATGCAATTTCTCGTATGGGACTGAAAATGCAACAAAATTTAAAATTATAGTACTTCAATTGCTAATAAAATTATTTTGGGAGAATTTTTTATTAGCAATTTAAGTCTTGTAAATTCAAATTTTGTTGAATTTCAGTCACGAAGAATTGAAATTGACGCATAATACTAAATTGCAGGATCAAAAGACAAAAATTTAAAATCTCGAAACTAAAAATACTACCGCGTTAAACCAATAGGACTAACAATGCAATTTTGCCTAAATTATGATAGCTACCCCAAAATTTATAGTGCATCCAAAAAAAAAAAAAGTAACAATATACCGTGTCGTCAATGTACGCTGCCCAAAAACGGGCCATGGCCCGATCGTAAGGGTCGGAAGGGAGAATTTTCGGGCCATTAGTATTCCAAACTTCGTCAATATATTGAATTATTAAAAGGGACTCACAAACCGGCTTCTCGTGGTGAATTAGGACCGGGATTTTCCGGTGAACTGGATTGGCTTTCAGAAGCCGATCGCTTTTGTTGCTGTAATAATTCTCTTCGATGAACTCAAAATCGATAGATTTGAGATTGAGAGCCATATGTACCCTGTTAGAATATGGGCTTGCCCACGACCCGAGTAGCTGAACATCATCACCTTTTGCCATACCCAAATTCGGGCCCTAATGCCAATTACTCTGAATCGTGAGATTTATTCTTACGCTATTTAGGGCTTTGTCGTACTGATCTTAGAATGATATCAGCACGAGACAGTTGAACGAGTCTTTTTTTTTTTCGATTGAATGAGTAGTGATTGATGATATTGTAAATTAATGAAGGCAAATTTGACTTTCCTACTGCAGATCGATTAATTGCAACTAGAGCTGTAAACGAGTTGAGCTTGTTCTTAATTGATGATATTCGTAAATTAATTAAGGCAAAGTTGACTCTCATACTACAGATCGATTAATTACAATTAGAGCGGTAAACGAGTCGAGCGAGCTCGGTTCGTCAAATATACGAGTCAAAATTCGGGCTCGAGCCGATCTAGAGTTTTAACAAGCCGATCTAGAGTTTTAATGAGTTGAACTATAAAAAATTATATAAAAATTATATTTTTGAGCCTTAATGAGTCGAACCGAGCTCGACTCGTTAACCAATCGAGATTTAAATGAGCTCGAGTTCGGTTCGTTAAGGCCTCGAATTCGAGCTGAACTTGAGCCTTAACAAGCCGAGTCGAGCCGAACCGAGCTCGTTTAATTTAACAACAATAAATTTGCAGCTGCAGACTGGTGTCACAAGGTCATTTCTACTTTCATTTTGAACTTGCTTTCGTACAAATTAGTTGCAGTTATATATAATTAATTATTTATTTAATTAATTTAATTAAATTTGGACGAGGTGTATTATTTTGATTTTTGATAGAAAATGTGGTCGAAATAATATTAGAGTCGGATAAAAACAGAGTGCAAGCCTTGCATTGGCACAAGCCCAAGTACAAGTACAAAGACCACTGGGAAATTAAAGATAACCACATTTAGCAGCACAAAATATGCCCCAAAACTACCCCATAAAGACCCATTACAAACCAACCCAAGTGAGCAACTTATAATTATGTGAGGGTACTACCACCGTCGGTAGTCCGTCATGGAAGCTACGTCAGAGCACCAACCACCTGGACAACATGTCTGACCACCAAAGACTGTTTGAGACGTCAGAGAACACACCAAGTGCAACGAGGAGCGTTGAAACTGATATTCCGAGCTGCTTTGGATGCCTACGAGAAATGATTCATGTCGTGCCGGAAGGGTCCCGAGCCACGAAGTTGTATCACTAGAAGCACAGACCCTAATGAAGGGGTAAGAACTGTTATTGTATTTCTCCATAGCAAATAGAGACTTTACTAACCAATTTTATTTCAAGTATAATCATCTAATGTTTATATCTTCACATAAATAATTATTGATCGAAATTCGTGGTTCAAAATCGAATTATACCATACAGCAAAAAGACATCAATACCCCTTCTTCAAACATGCATATTCCCAAGTCCTGAATGCAGCTGGAGAGTTTCACGTTTGACGACATGAAGAACGCCTCTTTAGTGCAGAGATGGAGGATAAGTGAGCATTAGTTCGAGCTCTTTCTTCTTCTAAACCCTGATTAAAAATAAAAAAAATCAAAAAAACAAAGAGCAAACATAAAATCATCCCGGCCTGCATAAGAAAATCATACAACTGTCAAAGAATCAATGAGAAAGCAACAAATTAATAACATCTAATCCTGAATCCCGAGCCACAAACCAAAATAAACAATTTAATTATTTGAATAGTCCTGAGCAACAAAAAGTATACAAAAATCTATACACAAGCAAACTAATTAAACTATGAATTTCTCAGGCTAAGGCACAAAAGCAAACTATGAATTTATCTGACACGGAACATGGTCAAGTGTTGGGAGTAAATAAAATTTCGAGACACGTACGTCTTTAGAAGGATATCCATCAGTGGTCTCTCTTGCATTTACTGCTTCGAGCTTCATCGATAAAAACTGCAACAAATGACAATTGTGATTAGTATATTTTCACGTACAAACAAACACATCCACACACAAAAAACGTGTAGAGAGAGTGAGAGACCTCAACTTGGCGCTGTAAAGACTGAATATAATTAGTAATCTCAACCAGCACAAGAGCTTTGCTAATAACCTGACAAAAATATGAAAGAATAAACTAAGAATCGCGCTAAATACTTCATCGAAAAAGGACAAAGTAAATGACAAATTGACTATAATGAATTGAGGGAACTTACACCATATGTACAAGCTGATCAATTCTAAAAAAAAGGAAATTATATCGACTCAAGCAGAGAATGAAAATTCGAGAAATAAAATGTTTGCTTCTCACTTTATTACAACCAGGAACTAAATCTTGGAGAATGATGCCGACGAGAGTGCTTTGGTGTTCCTCGACAAACATGATCGTCTCCGACCCCTCGTTTGATCACTATTCTATTTATCATTAATATTTTATGTTTCTTTTATTTAGTATTGTTGGGCTTGTGTTATTGGGCTTTTAAGATTTATTGTTAGGTCGTTAAGTGTCGAGCATATAAGGCTCTTTCTCTTTGTCATTGAACAGATGATTGCTTATGAAATAATACAGCATTTGAGAGTTTTCTCTGTTATCACAAATCCCATCGTACGCTTCCTACATCATCTGGTATCAGTTAACCAGGACGATTTTCGATGCCGCCGAAACGACGAGATGCCGAGATTGACGACCGTTTTAATCGTTTGGACGATCGAATGGGAACGATGGACGATCGCGTGGCAGATTTGTCTGCGGGAATCGAAGACATTCGTCTCACGTTGGCTACCATGGTGCAGGAGAGGCACGCGAATCGTGACTTCGCCGGAGCCCGAGGCGGTCGCGGGGGTCATAGGGCTGGCCGTGGTGGTCGTGGATTTGCAGAGGCGTTCCGCCAGCCATTTCCACCACCTGAAGACGGCAGTGATGATACATGGTCGGACAACAACCCTTTTGCCGAGGGTTTTGTTCGAGACCAGCAGGAATTCCGCGAGTACCCTCGTCGGCGTGAACAGGAGGATGGTCGGGGCCATAGGGTCCATCATCACCGTGAAACCCTAATTCGCGGCTGCCATCGCTGTGGAGACCAGGAATTCCGACGCGAACCGGGCGGCGGGATGGAGACTCGTCGTCGACAGCGTGGGGGTCGCTGCGGGGACTCCGATTCCGACAGCGAGGATGACGACCTGCTACACGGCTGGGGCACAGAATTTGATGTTGGTCGTGGGTTCAATGGTAGTCGCCATTTTGCACAAGCTGATGTTGTGGCTGATGGCAAATGGGAATCAGCCTTTCGTGTGGAAATTCCAGAGTTTGCCGGCGGATTGGAGGCGGCTGAATTTCTCGATTGGTTAACAGCCGTAGAATCAGCTCTCAATTATTAAGGTGTACCCGACGAGAGACGTGTTGACCTTGTGGCGACTCGGCTTCGTGGTCGAGCAGGTGCATGGTGGTTGCAATTGAAAAGCGAGCGACATCAACTGGGAAGAGCACAGATTAAGTCGTGGAACAAATTCTGTAAGTGCCTTGAAAAGGAGTTTTTACCATTCAATTTTGTCCAAACACTGTACCAGAAATTACAGCACCTTCGACAGGGACAACGCACTGTCAATGAATATACTGAAGAGTTTTATCAACTTCTTGCGAGGTTGGATCTTCGTGAAACACCTAAACAAAAGGTTTCGCGTTATGTTGGTGGCCTTCGTGTTTCTATCCAGGACATGGTCAATCTTTTTACAACACACACCGTTTCGGAGGCGCACCAGCGCGCCCTACTCGTTGAACAACAACAGGCTCGCCGACCGACTTCCACTTTCCAACCTTCACGGCCTCCACCAACTAGCTCGGGAACATCAGCACCGACAGCTTCTTCACGTCCCACTATCGGACCGCCTCATACCGGTTCATCATTCGGCGGCCGTGGTGCTGGAAACACGCAAGGCGGTGGCACTCGTTCACAGGGCACTCCGAGATGCTTTGGTTGTGGCGAACCAGGGCATAGACATGCCCAATGTCCGAAGGCAAGTAATTCGCGGGCCCTTTTAGTAGATGAACAGGAGGACTACACCGGCCCACCTATCTTTGATGAGGACCCGGAGATTACGGAGGAGCACGTCATGGGGGATGTTGGTCACGCATTGGTCCTTCGCAGGTCTCTTTTATCTCCACATGTTACCAACGCAAGTGCGGGTCAACGACACAACTTATTTGAGTCCACTTGCACAATCGGGGGTCGAGTTTGTCGCTTTATGATTGACTCTAGTGCGTGCGAGAATGTGGTGGCCTCAGAAGCAGTCGAGAGGTTACGTTTGACAAGCGAACCCCATCCCCAGCCATACACATTAGCCTGGATTCAGAAAGGAAGCTCGGTCACAGTGGATCGGCGAGTGTTGGTAGCTTTTTCTGTTGGTCAGACGTACCGAGACGAGATTTGGTGTGATATTGTTCCAATGGACGCCTGTCACCTGCTATTAGGTAGGCCGTGGCAATTCGATCGGGAGGTGGTTCACGACGGCCGACTGAACACTTATGGCTTTCTCTTTCAGGGTGTTCGCATTATCTTGCACCCTTCACCTCCACAGCCAGTCTCCACACCTCTAGTCTCGGTTCCGCCTCCTTCATCGTCTTCTATGCTGCTTCTTTCACAGTCTGCTTTTCTCCGTGAGTTGCCCGAGGCAACGATGGTCCTTCTCGTTTGCGGTACAGACTCTAGTACTTGTGGTTCACCGCCACATGAGATTCAACCGTTACTTCAGGAGTTTGCAGATGTCTTCCCAGACGAGCTTCCGAGCGGCTTACCTCCTTTACGGGATATTCAGCACCACATTGATTTGGTACCGGGTGCTTCTTTGCCCAACCGCCCTCACTATCGCATGAACCTAGCGGAGCACGAGGAGCTTCGTCGTCAAGTTGAGGAGTTGCTTCAGCGGGGATCCATCCGTCGGAGTCTCAGTCCATGTGCTGTCCCGGCACTTCTCATACCGAAGAAAGATCAGTCTTGGAGGATGTGTGTGGACAGTCGTGCGATCAACAAGATAACGGTCCGTTACCGTTTTCCTATTCCTCGGTTGGATGACTTGCTAGACCAATTACACGGTGCGACTGTGTTCTCGAAGCTGGATCTCTGGAGTGGATATCATCAGATTCGGATACGACCGGGAGACGAATGGAAGACAGCATTTAAGATTCGTGAGGGTCTCTTTGAGTGGTTGGTTATGCCCTTCGGCTTATCGAATGCGCCTAGCACTTTTATGTGAGTGATGAACCAGACTTTACGTGACCTCATCGGAAAGTGTGTCGTCGTTTATTTCGATGACATACTCATCTACAGTCATTCTGTCGCGGAGCATTTGTGCCACGTTCGCGAGGTACTTCTCATTTTACGTGCTGAGTCCTTTTTTGCGTCCCCAAGCAAGTGTTATTTTCTTGTGGATTCGGTTTTGTTTCTGGGCTTCGTTATTTCAGCCGATGGTGTTCGTGTGGATGAGAGTAAAGTGACCGCTATTCGTGAATGGCCGACCCCGACGTCGTTCACAGAGGCTCGTAGCTTCCACGGCTTGGCTTCTTTTTACCGCCGATTCATTGCCCACTTCAGTTCGATCACAGCCCCGATTACTGATTGCCTTACGGGCAAGTCGTTTGTCTAGACACCTCAGGCCGCCACCGCTTTTGATCTCATTAAGCAGAAACTGACCTCTGCACCGGTCTTGGTACTCCCGGATTTCTCTCGACCTTTCGAGCTTTCTTGTGATGCATCGAAGGTGGGTATTGGGGCTGTTCTTAGCCAGGAGGGGCGACCGGTGGCCTTCTTTAGCGAAAAGTTGTAAGGCCCGAGGACGCGCTATAGTACTTACGATGTGGAGCTTTATGCCGTCGTGCGTGCTGTACGACATTGGAGACACTATTTGTTTCATCGTGAGTTTGTATTATTTTCTGATCATGAGGCGTTACGGTTCATCTCGTCTCAAGACAACATCTCTGCCCGTCATGCAGCCTGGACGTCGTTCTTGCAGCAGTTCACTTTTGTCCTCAAGCATAGGTCAGGTACATCAAATCGCGTGGCTGATGCTTTGAGTAGACGTTCTCTTATCTTGACTGATATGCGAGTTGCTGTCACTGGGTTTGATTTATTACGTGATCAGTATGCTTCTGATGCTTTCTTTGGCCCCATCCTTGCGCGTTTAGCTTCGGGCCCAGTTGATGATTTTATAGTGCGTGAAGGTTTCCTTTTTAAAGGGGTCCGTTTGTGTGTACCGGATGGCAGCCTTCGGCTGAAACTTATCGGGGATTTGCATGGAGCGGGACATGTCGGTCGTGATCGTTCGGTGGAGCTCGTGCAGCGCACCTTCTTTTGGCCTACTTTACGGTGAGATGTCTCGCGTTTTGTGGAGCGGTGCAGGGTCTGTCAGGTTTCGAAAGGGGTTGCTTCGAACGCTGGGTTGTATAGCCCTCTTCCGGTACCTTCGCAGCCTTGGTGTGCCATTAGCATGGACTTTGTCCTTGGGCTTCCACGTACACAGCGAGGTCATGATTCCATTTTCGTGGTTGTGGATCGCTTCTCCAAGATGGCCCATTTTGTTCCCTGCAAGCGCTCAACTGATGCCGTGCACGTGGCTCAACTTTTCTTTCGCGAGATCTATTGCCTGCATGGTCTTCCCACGTCTATTGTCTCCGACCGCGATACACGCTTCCTCAGTTTCTTTTGGCGTAGTTTGTGGCGCCAAGCGAACACCAGGCTCGACTTTAGCAGTGCTTATCACCCTCTTACGGACGGCCAGACTGAGGTCGTCAACCGCTCTTTAGGGAACTTGCTTCGTTGCCTCGTTGGGGATAACTTGCGTTCGTGGGATCTTCGGCTTAGCCAGGCCGAATTCGCGCACAATTCGGCGGTCAGCCGAGCCACTCGACTCAGCCCTTTCCAGATTGTGTACGTCATGGTGCCTCGTGGTCCGGCGGATTTAATTGCATTACCATCCTCCGGGCTAGAGGATAAGCGGGCCGTGGACATGATTGAAGAGGTGGGGCGCATTAAAGCTGATGTCCGTGCGAATCTCGAGGCTACGACGGCCGCCTACAAGCAACGTGCGGACGCGCACCGGCGGCACTTGGAGTTTGACGTTGGCGATTTCGTGTGGGCTATCCTCACGAAGGACCGTTTTCCAGCCCACGAGTACAATAAGCTAGCAGCCCGAAAAATTGGGCCTGTGGAGATCGTTGAGAAAATTAATCCGAATGCCTACCGCCTTCGTCTTCCGTCCCATGTGCGTACCTCCGATGTCTTTAACGTCAAACACTTGGTGCCTTTTCGCGGGGACAATTCTGACGACGAGAGTGCTTCGGATTCGAGGGCGAATCCTCTCCAGCCGGGGGAGAATGATACCGACGAGAGTGCTTTGGTGTTCCTCGACAAACATGATCGTCTCCGACCCCTCGTTTGATCACTATTCTATTTATCATTAATATTTTATGTTTCTTTTATTTAGTATTGTTAGGCTTGTGTTATTGGGCTTTTAAGATTTATTGTTAGGTCGTTAAGTGTCGAGCATATAAGGCTCTTTCTCTTTGTCATTGAACAGATGATTGCTTATGAAATAATACAGCGTTTGAGAGTTTTCTCTGTTATCACAAATCCCATCGTACGCTT